TGCAACACTAGTTTTAGTTTAGGTAACGGTTATGAAAACATAATTCAATTCAATGCTTTACCAAATACGGAAGGCATTAGACAGTGTTTTATTGGTAGATAAGCAATGTACTTATTAAAGTTTCACACCTATAGAAATATGGGTCTACAAAAAAATGCCTGTGAACAGCTGGACATTCATTTCTTATTCCCTTTTTATTTTATGTATTTGGTCCGAAGCATTTAAAGTACATAAATTCGAATGCCAACTGCAGTTCCAAAGAATCCATGGTATAAAATTCTTATCACATCATTTGTCCAGGTTGGACTCCAACATCAACATCTTTATATTGTTGCAAATGTAGCTAACAACTGATCACACAAACAGGGACATTGAAAAAAGCTTTTTGTAGCAGAAAGATTAAAATTACCTGGTTGTCAAGTTAAGATTAATTCTGGCTACCCAATTAAATAGTTAAAACAGGAATGACAGACACAACAAGGATGAAGAAAAAAATCCATCTGTGCTGAAACATTCTATTGCAGTAATGGTGTTACTATTCAGGGGGAAAAAAATAAGCCCATCTGTTAGGGTGGGATTTTAAAACTCCCCTGAAGCAGCTTTAGAAAGTGACTCAACTGTAAATAGATTTGGTGCAGGTCTTAGTAACATAAAGGAACTCCTATTGAGCCACTTTGCTTTATATCCTTGTAGGTTTATCAAACTAAACCTTCAGTAGAAAAGGAAAAAAAAAGGGATCAAACCTTAAGCAGCTGAGTTAAGACTGTTTGCACAGTTAAACATTTGGATACTGCTTCTTTTTACATGTAATCTCAATGTGCTTCAAAGCCAACATGTTTCTCTACTTCAGTCAAACATGCCTTGGGAGCAGCATGCTCATGTTTGAGTAATTTTCACTGAAGTGAAACTACACGCTGGATGGAACTACTCAAACACTAAGTGGGCCCTTAAAACAAAGCAAGCAAAGCCAGGATCTCCCCTCTCCACCCCCTCGCTCCTACCGTCCACACACGCGGGTCTGGCTCTTGTAGTTCCGGCGATCTGGCCCTTCTTACAGGCGCAGCGGGCCGTCTGCCTGGCGATGGTCCGTCGTGGTTGGCTGCTGTCCCTGTCCAACGTCACAATCTCACATGTCCCCGCTGCCAGCTGGCCTGTAAATGACATTGCAGCACAGCATGGGAGGTCAGAGAGATGCAATCATAAACAAGAGCAGATAAACTAGTCTTTCTACTCTGTAAAATCAAAAACTCTGATCCATGTGCATCCAGGAAGCCCTGGTATTGATGTCCGAATCTACAGCAGCTCAATCGGGTAGAAAATGTGATAGCTTCATAGAGTGCTAAACAGTATTATTGCTGTGGATTCTGAAACTCTACACAGCCCTGTTAAAATACAAGATTTTTGTAATGCAACAAATATGCAAAAAAATACACATTTTAGTCAAACATGTAATACTATTATTAACTGAAACACAGACTAATCCATAAGAGGAATGTCAAACATGTAAAGATAAAACCTCAGCAATAACTTGGTTGCATAAACCTGAAAACCAATAAACTAATACTGAGAGATATCAATGCCATAGGTTAGATTTCAGCACCTGCCATCACTTTTAATAAATGTGACAAACTTCACAAAAATAGCAGTTTTCATTTCAAAATTTCCTTGACTTTCACTAATTTGCCTTTTTTGCCAAAGCTCCATAAAACAGAGAAATTACACAGGATCAAAATCAGCTGTCTACAAAGGCATCAATTAGTGAGAGTACAAAAAAATTATGTAATACTTTGGCACACAGCACTTAGTATTCCATGGAATGTAGGACAACACTGAAAAACTGAAAAAAAAAAAAAAATTAAAAAAAGGTTCAGATACAGCCTATGACTGTTTTTGCATAAAATCTGCAGAGTTTGGGAGAAATGTAGTTTACCTGAAAGAATAAAAGGAGATTATTTGAAGACAGCTAAAATCAAGTAAAGCTTGAGTTTAGCACATAACCCAAGCTGAAAATTCAAACAAAAAAAACTTAATTAGGGGGAGAATTTAATGTAATACTCTTCCAAGCTAAATTTGATCTAGCGAGATTTAGCCGAATCGAAGAAGACCGAACGATACATGAAATCACAAGGTCCACAATTAAACAAAGTTAATGTTTTTCTCCCCTTTGTTTTTTGAGCCTACTGTAAATAGAAATTAGTATCTTTAAAGGTTGCAAAAAGTCTTTAGAAAATTGATCATGGTCTCATTTTTAAAGGCAAAAGCCTTTTTCTACGTTCTATGTTTATTAATCATAAATAACATCAGAAAATTCTTTTTAATTTAAAAAAGGCAGTGTTGTCATTGAACATTCTGACAAATTTATTTTATTAAGTAAAAGTAAATGTTAGAACTGTAAATATGCAGTTATTTGTTTATATTGCTATTTTATTTTTTTATGTATTTATTACTGTTTTTCAAGGCTGCACTTTAAAAAATGAAATTGTCTAGGCTGTTAAACAAAATCTCTTTTGGTAAACACAAAATGACAAAATTAATTAATAGTATTAAATATTTGTTTCACATGGAAATAAAAGTATATATATATATATATATATATATATATATATATATATATATATATATATGCATGCCTTGGTTACCTGTAAATGATCTTTGGCACCAGGCAACTAATTTCATTGTATTTTTTTGATAACAAATGTCAACTTTTCAAAAACACAAAGGGCATAACATCCTACTTTAACAGCCAAATCAAACATTTAAAACAACTACAAAGAAATTAGGTCATAAACATTTTTTGTACAGTGTAACAGATTCAAACTACTTGGATAGGTCAACATAGGACTTAACAGAGGAAAACTGCAGACTTGTAAAACACATTTGATGCTTCCCTTAGGAAAAAAAAGGTTTCTAATTCCAGCCACCTAAGTACAGCCTATAAGCTGCTTCTTATAATACTTCAACAACAATCAGTCCACCTATTTCCAGGTAATGTACCCATTACCTATGAAGAGAAACACATGAATACTGATGAAGTTTGTAATTGCTGCCAAGCCCCACCATCTTGCCCAAATGCATTTTTCCATGTATTCAATCAAGCGACCTTTGACCTTGTAGCTGAGCCCTTGATGCTCACAAATTAACCTTTGTCTGTGTGTGGAGGCCCCTGGGTGCCATTCCAGGGAGGCTTATCAGGACCTAATTGTGATTGGCAAGAGGAAGGCAACTGTGATTAAATCTGGACTTTAGTCGCAGACACTTGGGTGTCTAGCTAAATGAACTGAGCAGTGAAGGGTCACTCCCAGGGTAATGGGGATCTATCAGGATTCATCCACACAGGTGCCTGTGCTGCTTGTGGCCACAGGCTAAGAACAGAGGTGGAATTTATTTCATAGTTTTGTGCCGTTTGATACGCTTAACTTGAATAATTACACAATTTTTTTCCTTTTGTCTATACACCATATATTTACTTGCTTCACAAACAAAAATATCAAACAAACAGAACTTTGGTTTCGGTGTCTGAGTTGTTGAACTCATTGGTCTTCATATTGATTTAAGATGAATACTGGTCAATTTACACTTTTCGCATTTCCTGCATCTGGACCTGCTTTACAAACACACAGACATGCACAAACAAACAAAAAACAACTAATGAAAATAACAAACAAACAACAACAACAAAAAATACCCCAATCAGCTGCCTGTTTTGATTACATCAAAGGCAGCTGCATATTATAGCATATAATCTGGAAGGTGTGTGTTTTTTTTTTTTCTTTTTTGCATTTCCAACTAAATAACAAAGAACCAACAAAAAAGACAAACAATAATCAATAAAGACATTGTTTATGTAGCAAATATAGGGAGAATGGGATAAAATAAAATCATATTGTAAGTATCAATGTATAACTGTGTTTCTGGTAATTTTTTTATATTATTAGTAGCCGAAGCATATTTTCAAATTGACAAAAACAGATAGTTTTTGTAAAACAGGGTGAGCAAAGTGAAAATGTGTAATTTCGGAAACAGGCAGTATTCTGTGGTGCTGATTAATGGAACGTCTATCAATTCATATGTTATGTTTCGATCTTACATTTCAGATCATTTAAATTAACAGAAAGTTAAATGACTGAATTTTTTTCTTATAAAAGTTTTACTAAAAGCGCACAGATTAGTTATGTTGAAGGGTGGCAAAGTGTGCCTAAAGCTTTTTCATTACACACACACATAAAAAAACCTTTTAAAAGCAATGACAAAATCAATCGCTCTTCAAAACAACACTGGCAATGAATACTACTGTACATACTTTAAATGGGGCTAAATCTGCTGTAAAATGTAGTAAACTATTATGCATCTTGATGAGTCGTATAATTCAATGTAGCTATGAATTAGACGTATATCTCTGATTGGTCTCCCAATGCTAAAAGAGGAATCGGAATAATTAGCATCTAAATCTCAGTGCATCTGACCCAAACCAACGCTACTTGTTCTGCCTCTCTCTGGATGTTATCCACTGCGACAAAACCGATAGACTGTTTGGATGTCTTATGTAATCTCACAGATCGTGTGGTGCTGATGCACCATGTGTGAAGTCAACAACCTCAAAGACTGATTAGTGGCCGCAATTCTCGCTTGTTCTGCTATCTTGAGTTGTTGGAGTTCATTACTAGACTGCATTTCTATCAAACACTGGCCAGACCTAAAAACTGTATTCCTTTATCTTTCATGTTGCTGCCCAGCCGGGCCTTTTTTATATGGAGATCATAATTAGACTAATTTCAAAACACATAACAAAGCATTTTAAAATGCAAGTCTAAAAGTTCAGTTCTGTCATATTTAAACAGTAATTTGGTTGTAAAACTAACGATAAATACTTAATATAAGAAAAATGTAAGCGTGCAACATATGTTATATTTTATTTTTTTATGTTCAACTGATTTTATTTACATATAAATATATATATATACATGTTAGTAAAAAAAAAACATGAATTTATGTGTTTTTTTGTGTTTATTGTATTATTGTGTTATGTGTGGCATATAAAATGTAAAAAACAAAATTGTTAAAGGCTCAGCAAATTTCTACAGAGAGAAAGAATTTAACTAGTTTTCTTTAGAAATAAAACTATCTAGCAATACAGAGCTATGATTAGTATGTAAAAGAAAGTCTTCAGTTTATCTGCACACATTATATTGTTAACTTTCCTGATTTGTTTTTTTTTTTTTAAGAATAACTTTTTTAGTTTATCAAAATGTGAACAATACTCTAGGCAACACTTTTATTCTACTCTAATCAATAAAATTCAGTATATTCATATATATTTACAACACATTTCACCTTAAGGCACTTTACAGAACCAATTCAATCAGATTACAGATTTAGATTGATAAAACGCTTTCTCTCTATAAGGAAAACCAGCTGATTGCATCAAGTCATTGACTTGCAGGACACGCTGCTCTTGGATAAGCATGTGGCTACAGTTGATATAAGCTTTCATTTTGATGTTGACTCAACAGCAATCCCTCACACCGAGCACGCATGCAGCTCTACAAAATAAAGGACTTCATTTTAGATGCAGTTGTGCTATTTTGCAGAATCCTCCATTTCGGTTGAATACTAACTGTTCAATACTTTATATCTGAGAAGGGAGTTATAAATATTTAAGAAAGAGTTAAGAGGTAAGTGCACAACTGAGTGCAAGCACACGTGTCTACAATGTATTTCCTGGTTACTGCCTGTGTAAGAGATTCATGACTGGGTGGTCTTTCTATCCCGGTAATGTGATGATTGACTCGCTTCTTTTTAAATACAAACTGCTCCAAGCGTCCCCATGGCTCAGCCTCCGGAACAAACTGCAAAGGGTAACATGGATACTGGGAATGATATCATGAAAATTAAGACCTAACAAGAAAAAGGAAGTAAAAACCAGCAGTTTTTAATTGACTGCATAAAAATATTAAGAAATAATGCTCCAAAAGCTACTTTTTGAACGGCTTTAATTCAAACTGGATGATATATAAAATGTCTCTTTAGATTCCTGCTAAATCAAAATTGTTTAGTGCTGTTCATTACCACTTTTATCCATGAAAGTAGTAGGATGTCATCCAATTTATCCACAGTTATCCCATGAATAATTTGGATCGTGAAGACAGGAAAA